CATATTACCTGTGCAGCTGAGCTTTGAGCAAGTTGAGTTTGCCAATATGCTGGAAGTCCAGTGGCTTGTACATAGGTTATCTACAGTTAAAAGGGAAAGGGCTTGATGATTTCATGGTGCAGATCGGTAAATAAATAAAGCCACCATTGAGCTAATGAATAGCATCATAGAATCATAGAGTTGGAAGTGACCTCCAGAATCATCTAGTCCAACACCTTGCACAATGCAGGGAATTAACAAATACCTCCCCCTCCACACCCCCAGTGACCCCTGTTCCATGCCCAGAAGATGGCAAAAAACCTCCAGGATCCCCGGACAAACTGGCCTGGAGAAAAATTCCTTCCTGATCCCAAAGTGGTAATCAGCATTTCCCTGGGTGTGTAAAAAAGGGCCAAAAGAACTAAGCACTGAGACAACCCTTCCTGCCCTCCCTCTCATAATCTGCCTAAGTTCACAGAATCAGCTGACAGATGGCATCTAGCCTCTGTTTGAAAACCTTCAAAGAAGGAGAGCCCACCACCTCCTGAAGAAGCCTGTACCACTGAAGAACCACTCTAACTGTCAAGAAGTTCTTCCTAACCTTCAGCCGAAAACTCTTCTGATTTAATTTCAACCCGTTGGTTCTGGTCTGATCTTCTGGGGCAACTCTGTACCATCCTCTATATGACAGCCTTTCAAGTACTTGAAGATGTTTATCATATCATCTTTCAGAGTGCGTTCAGATGGGCAGCCAATCCCGCCATGATACCAGCTCAAATTTGATCCCGATTGTTTAAATCCATCCTTGCACGACCAGACACCCCCGGGGGAATCGCCTTACTGCGCGCTGCTTCCGCTGTGGATTGTCTAGACGGTGTCTACTGAAGGAGGCGTGTGCGATGGTTTTTTTTTTAAAAAAAAAAACTTTCAACGCAAGCGCATGGGCATGACTGCGCGTCCTTGTAGATCCACCCATGCACAGAATCAAACGCACTGCGTGACGGACACATAGCCTAAACGAGTCCTGGCCATTCCCCTTGCCATTGAGATCATCCTCACTGGAGAGACTATTTTGCATGTTGAAAGACCCATCCCCCCACCAGCTCCTACTGCATTAAGTGATCGTCCTCATAATCACGGGTCATTCTTAAACATCAACGTGTTCATGGCACTAGATCAGGGTTCTGCAGCCTCATTTTTAAATGCGTTTAAGCGCATATTGGGTGGTGTTTTTTTTTTTAATCGTGCCCGCTAAGGATGGTCTGATGTCAGACCACGCCGACGGGAGGATTGCGTGCTGGTTGAATGATCAGACGGGTGAAAGTCCACTGTTGTCCCGTCGGGTCCGGAAAACTCTAGATTTAAAGTACTGTCTTTTAAGTCCGGATAGGAGGCGCGGCAAAACAGGATGTCCACGGAACAGGGACATTTCCCAGATATTTGTGTCTGGTCGTGCATTTTTAATACACCAGGGAATTGTGTCTGTGGTGGATCTAAAGAGCCATCTGAATGGACTCTCAGTTGTCTCCTCTCCAGGCCAAACATACCCAGCTCCTTCAACCTTTCCTCATAGGACTTAGTCTCCAGACTAGGGGTGTGCAAAAAAAAAAAAAAAATCGGCCCATTTTGGCCGAATCGGGCAGAATCAATTTTGGCTGGCAGTAAGACTCCCGCATGTCAGTTTCATCAGTACGAGCGGATTCGGGAGTCTTTCGGCCAGCCGAATGTCAATTTCAGCCCCATTATCTCCTATGGGCCATTGAAGTCAATGGCAAAAACAGGGTATATTCTGGGGTCTGGAGGGGAGGTGGTTTGAGGGAGAGGCTCCAAACTCACAGGGTAGCTGCTGGAGCCTCTTCCCACAATACCAACCAAGATCCCAAGTTACTTTTTCCCACCATAGAGAACAATGGAGGGGATAGGGGCAACCTGTTTGGGGGCCCGTAGAATTGGACCCCCTAGTCCAATGTTTTTCAAACGTGGTTGGTATCTTGGGGTGAGGCATCCAAGGGGATGCAGGTGTGAGGAGAGGCACAGCCTGATATGACCACTGAACGTCCAGAGGGGCAGAGTCTGGGTATAATGGGATTAAGCCAGGTGCTGAATGGTTGGGCTGGGAGTGTCCATTGTGGAACAATAGAGTGGCCTGGCATTTCCCTGGTGTCAGACAAAAGAAATGATGTTTCTTAATGTGTGGCAGGATGAACCAGAATGGATGACCATTCACTGTACATGGAAAGTTAATGTTTACCTTGATAGGTCTGGCAAAGGTGTAAGAATGCAGATATCTTAGACAAATATATGGAGACTGGAATGAGAGGGTTATTCCAAAGGTATTTGCTGACATACAAGTGAAACAGAAGTTGGGGCTAGTTGAATGAATTGTATGTCTATTGATGGTTCTGCCAAGACAGTTGAATAGGTTCCCAGATATAGATAAAAGATGGGAGATGGGTCGCTGATTAGTTCAGGAAGGATCTTTAATAATTCGAATGTTTGATTGGTTTATCTTGGTATCCAGAGGGATGGAGCAAGGAAAGACAAGTCTCACACATAGACATCGGATCACACAAAAGGCTGAGTGAGTTTCTGGAGACAGGGCTTTTCACCAGGTGGCCTCTGAATAGCCTTTAGAAATGCAGATACCTACGTGGTGGAACCCATTGTTTCATATGTATATCTTCCTGGGTGGGGAAGAAGACTGGAGGTTTGCCCTGAGGACTGCCTTGTTGTCACCTGAAAATGGGGACCCTGTTTCCAGAGCTATGACTTGTTCTGTGTTTCAGAACCAGGAGTGTCTTCCTTGGCCTGAGTTTTGTGGGTCTCTGGTTCAGGTTAGAAAGTGGGTGTCCCTGCTATTGGGGCTACCCGAGAGTAAAGTTTGGTGTAGTAGTTAAGTGTGCAGACTCTAATCTGGGAGAACCGGGTTTGATTCCCCACTCCTCCACTTGCACCTGGCTGGAGGACCTTGGGCAAGCCGTAGTTCTGATAAGAGCTGTTCCTGAAAAAGAGCAGTTTCTGTCAAGAGCTCTCTCAGCCCCACCTACCTCACAGGGTGTCTGTTGTGGGGAGGGGAAGGGAAAAGGAGTTTGTAAGGTGCTCTGAGACACCTTTGGGTAGTGAAGGGTGGGGTATAAATCCAATCTCTTCTTCTTCTTCTGGGTAAGGGAATGGAATAACCGTTCCCTCTTTAGCACTCAGCTGATCATATAGTTTTCCTCAGCTGGTGCTGGCCAATCAGAGAAGGGGAGCAGCCTGCCACTCAAGCTCTCCATTCCAGTGATGAGTTAAGAGTTTCCATCTCCCCAACTTCGCTGCATTAGGAAACCAGTTTTTAAGTGCAGTCCATCATAGGGACCATTATAGTCAATTGGGAATCTATCTGAGGGTATCCAGGAGTCGGAGGGGCTGTTTTTTTGAGGGAGAGGCACCACAATTTCAGTAGTTTCTGGTGCCTTTCTTCAAAAGACACCCCCCCAAGTTTCAAAAAGATTGGACTAGGGGGGTCCAGTTTTATGAGTACCCAAAGAAGGTGCTTCTGTCCTCCATTGTTTCCAAAAGTGGGGGGAACAGCAAAAACCAAAGGACTGATGTTAAACCAGAGAGTCTCTGTAGTAGAAACTGAAGTTGGGGTGGGGGGATTTTTCCAAGCCCAGCAGAACCAGTGCTTGTATAGAGTGCCCAGCAGAACCATTGCCACATTGGTAATGCCATTTCAACACTTTCAAGCCAGGTGTGTGTGTGTGTGTGTGCGCAAGCACAGCAACAGACAGTGAATGTACAAAGTGTCCAGCAGAACCAGTGCATGTACAGAGTGCCCAGCAGAACCAGTACATGTACAGAGTATACAAAGAAGGTGTCCCCATCCTCCATTGTTTTCAATGGAGAGGGAAAGCATTTAAGGGAAGACGCTGGGTCTTGCTGGGCACTAGTACATTGCATTGGTACTGCTTGGCACTCTGTACATGCACTAGTTATGCTGGGCTTGGAACCTACCCTTGTTTGGATTTATTGAGCTGGCATTGCAAAAGTCACATTGGTTCTACAGGGCACTCTGTACATGCAGGGTTCTGCGGGGCATTCTGTATATTCATTGGTTCTGCTGTGCTAGGCTTGCAACCCCCACCCCCCTTGCTTGGATTTGTTGAGCTGGCATTGCCACAGTGGCACTGGTTCTGCAAAAATGCCTCCGACCTTCAGTTTTTACTGAGAGACTGTCTGGTTTGACAGCAGCCCCTGCTTTTGTACTTTCCCCCCTCCTTTGGAAATAATAGAGGATGGGGAACCTCCTTTGGGGCCCATAAAATAGGACCCTCTGGTCCAACCTTTTTGAAACTTGGAGAGTCTTTTGAGCAGAAACCCCAGAAGCTATGCTAAATATTTGATGCCTCTAGCACTCACAAAAGTCCTCCGATACCCCCACATATCCCCAGTGAGATTCCCTATTGTAGCATACGGAGATTATTGACTATAATAGCCCCCATGGGCTATTATGGAGCTGAAGACATTTAAAGGTGTCACGGTCCCTTTAAACGTGCTTGTGAAGCTACAGTTTCACTAGTGAAGATTCAAATGGGATTCCAACACCAAAATCCGGAGCAGTGTCCTGTGATCCACTGTTCGCATGACGTTATTTACCATCCGGGAACTTCAAGAATCTAGTTTCTACCCTACTTCCTTACTAAGCCAATATTAGTGAAAGTTTGCGTATGATTAGAATTATGATTGTCCCAGGAGGTGGAGTCATTGGTACCATTTCATACCCATTTTGTCGATAATATAATGACTACTTCCCATCAGATCGATCTCCTTTTTGGAAGCCAATTATGCACAGGAAATAGCTGGAATCTCAACAAGTGATAAACGTCAGTGTTTCTGTACAGCAAGGAATTGGTGCTAGCAGGTTTTTCCAGTGAACATGGCAAAACATGGATGTGTAGGTTGTCACATTTGACTATGTTTTTCTAAGAAAATGTTAGCATATGAAAAAATTGGAGTATATTGTTGTATTGTGCTAATTGTTATTCTGACGTTTTCCTACCAAACAGTCTCCAGAAAGCCCCCTTCACATCCCTGTTTCTCAAGCTGTAGATCAGCGGGTTGAGCAAGGGAGTTATGACAGCATACAGTGCAGCGATGATATTGTCTTTATCTGAGGAAGATTTTTGTTCGGGCTTCAAATACATGATCATGATTGTACCATAAAAGATACTAACCACAGTGAGGTGAGAACTACAGGTGGAGAAAGCTTTTTTGCGACCCTGTGTTGAGCGAATGCGCAGGATAGCTAAGCCTATGCGCCCGTATGTTACAACAATGAAGCCAAAGGGTGATACTACGAAAGCAAAGGTGGAAAGCTGCACATAGAGATCGCTAATGTGTACATCGGAGCAGGCCTGTTTGAGGAATGATTGTAGCTCACATCCAAAATGGTTAATGATATTGTGACCACAGAAGTCCGTTGGCTGCAACAATATGTTGATGAAGGTATTCAGTAAGGCAAGAACCACACATAAAGACACTAAACTGGTACAAAACCTCCAGCTCACGATCTGCATATAGTGGAGCGGCTGGCATATTGCTGCAAAGCGGTCGTACGCCATAACAGCCAGAAGAAGGCATTCTATTACAATGAGTAATAGACCAACATACATCTGAACCAAGCATCCATAGAAGGAGATGGTGGGCATGTAAAAGAAGCAGTTGACCAGGGACCCAGGAACTGCATTGTTGGTGATGACGAGATCTACTGATGAGAGGGTGCAGAGAAAGAAATACATGGGAGAATGAAGGTGAGAGTCCCCAATGATCAATACAATCATGAGGCCATTCCCAAGAGTGCTTATGAGGTACGCCATCAAGAAGAATGCAAAGAATACAGCCTGTGCTTGCGGGTGGCCGGATAACCCGACCAAGATGAATTCAGTCACCGTTGTCTCATTGGGAGTTCCCATGACATTCTCTGCCTTGTTCCTTCTGCTGGGGGGGAAAAAGGAGAGAATAGGATGGTTTATAAGTGACACTGAAAGAGTTTTCATGAGCTTTAAGATTCTGAAGTACTTTCTCGAATTCTCATGTATTCATGCATTTCCTAAAATCCGGCATAACGTAAACCCCACTGACCATAATGAGGATGAAGTGTAATTAATTTTGTGGTTGATTAAGGTCACTGAAACTGGTGATCTCAGTGACATGTAAAGCACAGCCTCAATTGTGGCCATGACAACAGAGATCAATATTTAATACACATAATGCCTTTTACACAGGTTGTGTATTTAGGTTCTGTTCATTCCCCATGGTAAATCTGTATCAAGATGACTCGTAGATTTTGAAATCCCTTCGTGGACTTATATGTAGCAAAGCCTGATAATCTTCGTGGGGCTTCGTTGTTATTTAACTTCATCATAACCCTCCAGGTCACTGAGATGTGCTACCCTTAAAGCATTAAACTTCTCACACACATCTTAGAATCATAGAGTTGGAAGGGGCCATACAGACCATCTAGTCCAACCCCCTGCCCAATGCAGGGCCAGCCTAAATCATCTCTGAAAAATATTCATCCAGCCTCTTCTTGAAAGCTGTCTGTGAAGGGGAGCTAACCACCTCTCTAGGCCGTTAATTCCACCTTTGAACTACTCTGACTGTGAAAAAGATCTTCCTGATATCCAGCTGATACCTTTCTGCATGTAATTTAAACCAGTTGCTTCGGGTCCTATCCTCTGCTGCCAACTGGAACAGCTCCTTGTCCTCCTCCAAATGACAGCCTTTCAAATATTTAAAGAGAGCAATCATGCCCCCTCCTCAATCTCCTCTTCTCCAAACTAAACATTCCCAGGGCCCTTAGCCTTTCCTTGTAGGGCTCAGTCTCCAGACTCAGGAATTTGAAATAATGTTAGAATTTGGCTTGCACCTCTCTGAAGAGACTCATTCCTCCTTAAAAGAAATATAGCACTTGGCTGAAAGCATGTGCCAATATTGAAATTCCCTTAAGATATGAGTTTGCCTATGAACAGAGGTTGGGGGGAAACGCAGGTTCCACATTGATCCCCATTCTACTCAGCTGCAGCCAAGAGTCTGTGACATTCTTTTGCTATGATATTTATTGTACTATAACAGCATTGGGAAAGGAAGGCAGCATGGAATCACCCGATCTCATCAGTTCTCAGAAGCTAAACAGGGCCAGTACTTGGAAGGGAGGCCACCAAGGAAGATTTTGCAGAGGAAGGCAATGAACAGCTACCTCTGCTTCCCATGTGCCTTCAAAGCCTCTTATTAAGGTCATCATAAATCAGCTGTGATGGTATAATATTAATATTATTGTAGGAAGGACCAGGGGTGGGGAGAGGAACAGGAAGAAAGAACTAGGTACATTGACCCACAACCCAGAAACAGTGTCTTAATGTCAAGATATTGTGGCTTGATTCATTAAGTCAGTGGTGGCTTTATTTGTTTACTGACCTGCACCATAAAAATATCTCGCCTTTTCACTGCAGATAATCTATGTACAACCCCTGCGTTTGCAGCATATTGGAAAACTCACACTTGCTCAGAGCTCAGTCAGCAGCACAGAGGTGCTGTAGCTCACAGTAAATCTTCACCAAGAGGTGACGAGCTTCATTGTCCTGCAGGTACCCTTCCCTCACCAGCACCCTGCATTTGGTCAAGCCCCATAACTTCTCTTCATTGTTTGCTGTCTGCTTTGTTTGGCCAGACATTCTTAGACTCTGAGCAGCAAACCTGGACTGTTCCTGCCATGGCTAGCTACAGCCTCACCAGTCTTTCGATGGGTCAGTCCCAAAGCTACACATATAGCTCTTAATGGGAAGCAGGAGGAAAAGGCCGCTGTTCCAGGCCAGTTTGCAAATGGTGGTGAGCAGATTGCTTGCTACAAGTGAAGTCCCAAGAATCAAAATGATCCACAGGTTGGCACAGATTTGGCCAAACAAATGTCCTCCAGTTGTCCACTGGAAATCTGATAAAAAGATGATAACATTTATGGTATTATATAATTGGGAAAGGAAGGTGGCATGGAGTCACCCAATCTCATCAGACTTCAGAAGCTAAGCAGGGTCAGTAGTACTTGGACGGGAGGCCACCAAGGAAGACTTTGCAGAGGAAGGCAATGAACGGTTTTATCCATTAACTCAGTGGTGGCTTTATTTATTTACCAATCTGCACCATAAAAACATAAGAGAAGCCAATGTTGGATCAGGCCAAAGGCCCTTCCAGTCCAGACTCTGTCACACAGTCGCCAAAAATACCAAGTGCCCTCAGGAGGTCCAAGCCCTTTTTACTGGAGGTAACCTATGTACAATCTGCTGGGCTTCCACCATACTGGCAAACTCACACTTGCTCAAAGCTCAGCAGCACAAAAGTGCAGTGGCTCACAGAAACTCTTCAATAAGAAAAGGAGGAGGAGGAGAATTGGTTTTATACCCCATCCTTCAGTACCCCAAGGAGTCTCAGAGTGGCTTAATCACCTTCCCTTCCTCTCCCCACAACAGACACCCTATGAGGTAGGCAGCGCTGAGAGAGCTCTGAGAGAAGTGTGACTGACCCAAGGTCACCAGCTGCTTCATGCGGAGGAGTGAGGAATCAAGCTCAGTTCTCCAGATTAGAGTCTGCCGCTCTAAACCACTACACCAAACTGACTCTCAGGCTTCATTATCCTGCATATACTGTTCCCTCACCATCACCCTGCATTTGGTCAAGCACCATAACATCTCTTCATTGTTTGCTGTCTTTGTTTGGCCAGACATCCTCACACTTGCTCAGAGCTCAGTCAGCAGCACAGAGGTGCTGTGGCTCACAGTAAATCTTCACCAAGAGGTGACGAGCTTCATTGTCCTGCAGGTACCCTTCCCTTGCCAGCACCCTGCATTTGGTCAAGCACCATAACTTCTCTTCATTGTTTGCTTTGTTTGGCCAGACATCCTTAGACTCTGAGCAGCAAACCTGGATTGTTCCTGCCATGGCTAGCTACAGCCTCACCAGTATTTCGATGGATCAGTCCCAAAGCTATACATCTAGCCCTTAATGGGAAACAGGAGGAAAAGGCCGCAATTCGAGGCCACTTGGAAAATGGTGGTGAGCAGATTGCTTGCTACATACTCAGTGGTGGCTTTATTTATTTACTGACCTGCACCATAAAAATATCTAGCCTTTTCACTGCCGATAATCTATGTACAACCCCTGCGTTTCCAGCATATTGGAAAACTCACACTTGCTCAGAGCTCAGTCAGCAGCACAGAGGTGCTGTAGCTCAAAGTAAATCTTCACCAAGAGGTGACGAGCTTCATTGTCCTGCAGGTACCCTTCCCTCACCAGCACCCTGCATTTGGTCAAGCACCATAACTTCTCTTCATTGTTTGCTTTGTTTGGCCAGACATCCTTAGACTCTGAGCAGCAAACCTGGACTGTTCCTGCCATGGCTAGCTACACCCTCACCAGTCTTTCAATGGATCAGTCCCAAAGCTATACATCTAGCTATACATCTAGTTCCCTCACCATCACCCTGCATTTGGTCAAGCACCATAACTTCTCTTCATTGTTTGCTGTCTGCTTTGTTTGGCCAGACATCCTTAGACTCTGAGCAGCAAACCTGGACTGTTCCTGCCATGGCTAGCTACACCCTCACCAGTCTTTCAATGGATCAGTCCCAAAGCTATACATCTAGCTATACATCTAGTTCCCTCACCATCACCCTGCATTTGGTCAAGCACCATAACTTCTCTTCATTGTTTGCTGTCTGCTTTGTTTGGCCAGACATCCTTAGACTCTGAGCAGCAAACCTGGACTGTTCCTGCCATGGCTAGCTACACCCTCACCAGTCTTTCAATGGATCAGTCCCAAAGCTATACATCTAGCCCTTAATGGGAAACAGGAGGAAAAGGCCGCAGTTCGAGGCCACTTGGAAAATCGTGCAGATTGCTTGCTACAAGTGAAGTCTCACAAATGAAAATGATCCAGAGGTTGGCACGGATTTGGCCAAACAAATGTCCTCCAGTTGTCCTCTGGAAATCTGAGTCAGAACTCAGAGCACCAAAGATGTCTGGCTCTGAGGATGAATAGCATTTACCCAACATTATTTCTGTCAATAATGAGGATATACTTACCTCTTGAGGTGCAGACCATAGGCAGGAATTCTTCAATATGTGTTCCTCATTCCATACTACAGCAAACAGAGTGTAAGAAAACCTTTCACACTAGCAGCCTAGCCTTCCTCTTCAAGGACAGAGGATTTAAGTAAATCCAGTCCTCTTTTATGAGTATGCCTCCAGTTCAAAGTTTGTTTTGGCAAAGGTCAAAGTTTAGACTAACTGTTTCAGCCTAGGACTGATGACCTGGAAGAGAGAGAACCAGAAGCTTTGTGTCTGGCTGGGTGTCAAGTGAAGCTGATCAGCTCTCCAACATTGCACCTAGCTTCCAAGGAGTAGAGTGATGAAAATGGCAAAAAGCTGAAGTTCCTTTTCAAAGAAGCTTCAGGAGAAATGGCCCGTGTGGGACATATTAAGAGATCTGCTCTTCATTCTTGTGAAAAGCTTTGCCTGTTCCTGAGTATAGAAGACGATGATTTAGCAGGTATCTGCTACCTACTGTTCTAAAAACTGTAATACGAGAGGTCCTCCTGGAATAGTACCCAGAAGTCTTGAGTAGAACTCTTGGGGAATAGCGTCAAAACTTTAGACTCAAAGATTAATTACTCTTTCATCTGATTAAAACTTTAAGAACACTATGGGGAATGTGGGTGTAAGGAATCATTGGATCTGCCCCAAAGCTCAATATTTTTTTCATGGAGGGGCAAAGAGGGGGCACGATTGCTAATTTAACTAAATTAATTGGTTAATCTTTATCCTCCCACCTGCCGTTTTCTCTCTCCTGTTTTGCGCTCCCAACAGCTCTGCAGGAGAGGCTGGGAAGCAGCCCCCCAAGTCATGCTGCAAGAAAGTCTCGAAACACAACCCCCCATTGACCTCTGACACCCTTCCCATGTAGGTGAATGGAAAGCGTGCCTGCCCTTATCTCCACCAGCCCAGGGCCTGCTTTCCAAGGCAAATCTCCCCCTAGCACCTCTTCCAGCCCGAATCGTGCTTTTGCTCGCCCCCAGCAGAAGGGGCCCTGCTTGGTGAAGAGAGGGTGGAGATGAGAGTCCCCCAGACTCCTTCAAAAGCAGCCACAGGAACAGCTGGACACCTTTCGGGACTTTGGAGGCTGCGACAGTAACATGGGGTCTAAGTTCTCAGGAGAATTTTTCAGTGGCCCACAACTCTTGAAGGTCCAGGTGAAGGTAGAAGTTAGTGGCTGTACCTTGGCAAGGCTCACAACGTCAGGTCCTTTGCACATGCCATGCCTGGGGGCAGAGCAAGCTGTGCCGGCGTAAGGCATGCACTCCTTCTCTGCCCGCTCTCATTGCTGCCCTCTGACCAGCAGCCCTAGGCTCTCTCCACCTCAGGGAAGATTCGGGGCAGGGGAGATTTAGGGGGCATCACCCCCAGATCCCCCGAGACCTACAGGCTTGAGTTGGGTAACATTACAACTCTCACTGTGATCCATTTCAGTGTCCTCAGTCATCACCAATATATAAGGATGGGCACGAACCCACTCCTAAACTAAACTTCATCATGAATTTTGGCCTATCTGTGGTTCATGAAGTCATGTTCATGAACCAAAGACCTGCCATGAATGTCTACAAATTTTCATGCAGCTTGTGGCAGTTCATGGCAGTTCACGAAGGGCAGGAAAAAGGGGTTTCAATGGCTCTGAGCCATTTAAATGAATAATAATAATAATAATGATGATGATGATGATGATGATGATGATGATGATGATATGCTTTAAAACAGAGTCTTAATGAGAAAACCAGTCTGAAGATGTCCAGCAGGGAGATGCAGTAGAAATCCAAGGCAGAGACCAGAAATGGCAACAACCACCAACAGCACTTCATGCAATCTGGCCCTGAAATGGAGTCATGCTGTAGGCCAGGGAGTGCTGTGAAAGAAGTGTTATGAGTAGGCAGACAAGACAAGGATGTCCCCGACATTGGAGCCCACGGCCAAAGAGAGCTGCTTACCCCCAACCTCATTGCCCAGGAATCCCATGAAAATGAAGAAAAACAGGCGTGGGAAGTTCAGATCAGATCAGATTTATTAATACGGTCAAAGGCCAGCATAAATCAATTAATACGGTCAAAGCCGGGAACAACCCACAGTTGATAACAGGTGCCAGCTGGTTCAAGCTCCACTCAGGCAGTTGCTCGGGAGACAAACCGGCAACATGGCGGCCACGCGAGGACGCTCCTGGAGAAGGGCAGACATTGGTGCTAATGGAAGTGTAGAGTTGATCCTGCCCTATTTGCTGCTGCGCCCATGCGCATAGGCACATGCAGCCGAGTACGGAAAACGTGCGAACAGACTGCCATTAGCGGGTGACAGTGCGAATGCTCCCTTGTGCTTCCTCCACGGTATCCTCCCGCTTCATTCGCTGCAGTGTGAACGGGAATACAAGGAACAAGCCGTTAGGGTCTGTTCCGGGTCTTCTTTGCCATGACTCCCTAGCACTTCAAACTGCCAGTCTGAAGCGGCCTGAGTGAAGGGCAAGGTATAAATCCAATCTCCTCCTCCTCCTCCTCCTCTTCTTCTGAAGGGTGGGGGATTCTTCTTTATGAAATAGATATATATTTGGACGAACAGTATCTGAATGCACATCCCTCTTTCCCATCACCCCCCTGCCCTTTTTGGTTTTGCATTATAATGTTTTAAAAATGAAGAGAAATCTGTGCCAAAGTATGTATCTCGTGAGATATGGACATTTATTATTTTTTTAAATCCCCGTAGGGATTTTTTTTTATTTTGCAAATACTACAAACTACAAAGAAATATAGGGAAGGGACTACAACTAAGGATAAAGAAAAGCAAACCACACTATACTAAAACCCCAAGAGGAGGAGATCTTTTAACTGTTAGTAAACATGTTAGTACTATTAGTTTTATCACAATATACTTGTTGAGTTCTTGCTTATAGCAATTCGCTTCTTATATGTTATTTTGTTAATTGTTATGAGAGAAGTCTCTGATCATCTTCTTATTCTTCGCTTCAAAAGGCCGTTTTCCAAGTCCTTCTGCCTTTACTTTGGCTTTCTGTCTCTAAAATCATATCCCACTCTGGCCACTCCTGCACCTTTTTCTGTTGCAGAATCCTCTTCCATCCCCGAGGTCGCAGAGTCACTCGACTTTGATTCTCCCTCTTTGGACTCATCATCTGTCCCCAGATGACGTTTCAAAAATTCTTTAGCTTTAAAAGTGGAGTCTATCTTTTCTCTTCTGTCATTGATCTTAAAGATGACACCCTCCAGAACCGCCCATCTGTATGATATTCCATTAGTTTGAAGAAAAGAAATTAATTCCTTGTAATTTTTCCTCTTTTGTCTAATTTCAAATGGAATGTCCTTTAAAGTTTTAATGGTAACATTTCCCATTTTCAGTGGAGTTGCTGATATTGCTTTTAAGATAGCATCCCTGGTTTGTCTTCTTGAAAACTTTACCACTATTTCTCCAGGTAGGCTATTTTTTTAATATAATTGGAGTATGCCCTATAGGCTGTCTCCATTTCGTTTACAAGTTCCTCCACTGTTAAGCCTACTACTGGCGCGATGATCTCACTGAGCACTCTCTTCAAGTCTTCCCGGTCCGTTTCAGGAACCCCCTGAAACCTGAGAATCGTGTTAGCTTTTTCCATCTGAAGCTGTAGAACTTGGTTCTCTTGGCAATTCTGCTTCATTTCCACCTCTCCCATCCTTCAACTTCTTACTTGTGGTGTCAATCTCTTTAATTTTCACGTTTGCCTGCTCCACTTTTTTCTCCATCTCGTTCCGCTGGAGCTGCTGCACTGCGAAGTTTTTATTCATTACAGTCAATTGCTGGTTAATACCATCAAGTTGTTCCATCACCGGCTTAAGCATATCCGCCAGGAGACCCTCTTCTGGTCTCGGGCTCTGCCCGCCCGGTTTCGTTTTAAACTTTCTCTGCTGGGCCGCCATCTTTCCTGTTTTGTTTACAATTTTGCCGCTTCCCCGCAACTCAGAAAACTCACTAAACGACTTCACAATTCAGATAAGTCTCTCATAACATTTTCGGTTTACTTCCTCCCCTCTCCCCCTTCGTGTCTGTTAACCATTCTTTCACAAAAGAGGCGTCCCTCTTTGCAATCTGTTTCTGATCGCGGGGGGGGATCACTTTCCAAACGACTCCGTTTTAATCAGAACTCACGTTCATTGTCGGCCAGTTTATCTGACCGCGCTCGGTTTAACGTCATTCTGCTCGATCTCCAGAGCTTGACCCGGTCAGTCCAGCTTGTGCCCGAAGGCCACTCAGCGACTGGACCATCGGGGCGGAGGGGAGCCTCAATTCTCTGGCATTATGCCATCGAAGAGGCTACCCCTCAAAAGCCCCCTGGCCTGGAGCCTATCTCAAAGGCTCCGCGGGGGTGTCACTTGAGGTGGCACCCCTCCAGGCCGCTGGTGTGCAATTCGCCCTCCTCTGTTGTGAGGAGAGCGTCCGCCATCGCTGTTCCGTAGACTGGAACGTGAGATATAGACATTGATGAGCAGACACTTGATTAGGTTTCTTCAGGTATTCCAATCCTGTAGTCATCAATAGCTAACCAAGACATTACAGGCAGCTTATTGCTTGATTGGTTCAGCTTAGTACTTGATTGGAGATAAGCAAGAGCAAAATTTGCATTTTCAAGTGCCCTTTATTTGAGAATCAGCAGGTAAACATATTAACCTTAGCCAACAGCACATGAGAAAAATAAAACACCATACTAGCTCCTTATGCTCTTTTTAGTTGTGACTTCATCATTGATACAAGGAAGCAAAATACTCTTCAGCATCAATGATCCATCCTCCAATCCTTAAACCTATTCCCATTCCAAAGACGTGCTTGCTTCGAATTCAGGGACTGAGGTGGCTTCCTGTGGAATGCCAATGTCCATATGTACCTAGTGAAGAGGCAGATTGGATCCCAAGACGAGAATACAACCCAGTGTTCTCTCTGGGATCTCCTGTTCACATGACATTAATTGTAAAGTGAGAATTCCGGTTAGAACCTAGAGGAATCAAAACCCTTTCTGTGTACTACTTCCTTTCTAGGCCAATTTTAGGAAAGTTGACTTGTAGTTAAACTGTATATTTTCCCCCCATATATTTTTTAATTTTTCCATAACAAATTTAACACTTTTAACAACCATAAATAACACAAACCATAAATAACATTGTTAAATTAACATCGTTATGCTGTATCGATTATAAATCTCAGTATAACAAAACTCACAACTGTCATGTCCTTGAAACATTGGATTCATAATCCTCAATAATAACCGTAACTTGTGTTTAATAAAATATTTTTTTCATATTTCTTTGGTATGATGTGCACTGAGTTTGGGTGAGGGGAGATGTATTCAAAGTAGGTAAACCATTTGTCAAGAAAATTATTACTCTTTGATGTAGATTGTGCAACCAAAAGTTGAGTTGCTATCTTATCAGCTATTATAACATCCCAGACTTTGGAGTACCAATTGGTTAATATTGGAATTTTAACTTGATTCCAATTTAGGGCTATTACTGACTTAGCAGCTGATAGTAGTAATAATATCATTTCTGTTGTTTGTTTAGTTATTGATAGATTTGGCCAATGATTGAGGAAAATCGCTTCTGTATTATTTGGAATAAAATGTCCTGAAATTTTGTAAATTTCACTACGTATCTTTCCCCCCATATTAAAAATCTTTGGACACAACCACCAACAGTGTTGGAACGTTCCCTTCATTCCACAACCTTTCCAACATATCGGATTGGACTTAAATTTGCATAGATATAAACGGTTGGGTGTTAAATACCATCTAGAACATATTTTAAATGTCTGCAATTTAACATTGAGATTGTTGGTTGTGAAGGAAAAGAAACTCCATATGTTGTCCCATTGATGGTCAATTATTGTAGTTGCACAATCCCTTTCCCATTTAAATTGTATAGATGATTTTTATTTCCAAGGTTTGTCACTAAGTAAATTGTAGATAATTGCACTAGGTTTGAGTAACACTTTTTCAAATTTTGTTAACTGTTTATCTAGAGGTGCTACTTTGGTCAGTTCCTCAAACATGTGTTTCAACTGTTGGTATTAAAACCAATGAATTTTTATTTTATATTTCTGTTCAAGTTGACTATGGGAACCTAATTGATTATTTATCATTCAGTCTACTAATCTATATACCTTACCATTTCTTAAATTTGAGAACTGGTTATTGTCCCTCCCAGGTAAAAAACCAATGTTGACCCCAAAAAAGCCATTATCGGCGAAGAACCAGGAGCCAGAATGTTTCTATATTTGTCCCATATTCTTAAAGTAAAATTTAAAAAGGTATTTCCTTGGAGTGAGACCTTTCTGTTTTTAGGTGAGTTCCATATTGCTTCATGTAGATTGTCTGTCTTAAGGCAATCCCTTTCAATGTGGGTCCACGTTTTTACACACTGTGGATTAGCATAATAAAAAATATTCTTTATTTGGGTTGCAATAACTCTCTAAGATAGGTAATCCTAGGCCTCCCTGTTTAATAGGTTTATGTAGAAGAGAGTACTTAATACAAGGTTTCTTATGGTCCCACAAAAAATTAGAAAAAGTAGACTTCCAGTCTCTAGAGTCTTTTTGAGGGATCTCTATAGGTAAGTTTTGAAATAAAAACAAAAATTTTGGTAGCAAAATAGTTATAAATAGGTCAATTTTTCCAGTATGGAAAAATTTAGTTTCTGCCAATCCTGTAGAGTAGTTTTTTAAAAAAATAGATAAATAAAAAATGGCATCCTCTGCAAATAAACTCATTTTGCATGATTCACTGTTTAGGGTAACACCATGAATATTTGGATCTGCCCTTATGGCATAAGCCAGAGGTTCTAAAGAAATGGCAAATAAAATCGGGGATAAAGGGCAGCCCTGTCTCATGCCTCTTTTCAAGTGGATATCTTCAGATCTAAATTGATTAACCGAAAATTGAGCAGTTGGATTGCCTTTACAGCATTCATAAAGTGTGGGACAAAATTCATATAGGACATTAAGTTCTTCAAATATTTAGGTTCCACTATGTCAAATGCTTTTTCAGCATCAACTGTGTTAGCCCAGACACTTTATATTGGGCTATTTCTGGACTATGCTATATGAATAAAACTTGATGCAAAGGGCTAATAAAAAGAGACTGTGTAATAAGAGGTCACGTTAAGGGTGCCTAGAGAAGAAGATGCCAGTTGAAGATGATAATCTGCTGACCTGATATTTCTCCAAAGGTGTTCCCATGTCTCTTGCTTATCATGTGTGCACAAACACAGGTTTTACAGCAAACACAAGAAACTCAATTAGTAGCCCAGACTCCAGGTCTCCACATGAGAGGATTATTTCAAATTCCCCCTCCGCCAGACTACAAGAGAGTTCCAGTCCACATGGAGAATCCACATGGCTAGTGATGAGTCAGCTCTATTGTCTCTGCACATACCTCTTTCCCCCTCCCAGGTACCAACGGTCAAAGTTAATCAATAGACTTGAAATTCATCCCGCTAGCCAATCCCAGACCTGTAGGGAGGGGTCACCAGGTGTAAGCCGCCTGAGCTCACCCCCTCTTGCTTGCCAGCAGCTTTAAAACTTAGAACACAGAGTAGACCATCATCCTTCCCTTTTACCTACGCCCTCTGCCTGTCTGCTGTTCCCCCTTACGCCCAGCTTCCTGTACCCAATCTTTACTTCGCTTTACATTCTCGTTTGCGCAGCTAGAGTGCTACACGTGTTCTCAGCCGGTCTGATTACATGCTCTTTCCCCATTTATATTTTCTTCCTACCCTAATACCTCCTGCTGGAAGATTTAGGAGCCGCGCATCTCCTGAGGTAAATATCTCCCACCAACGATTTCCTGCTAATGCGAAAGTGCTTTACCAAATCTATCTGTTTTTATATAGCTCTTGTGTGTGTGTGTGTATGATATTGTGTGCCTTGATTGATATTCAGTAAACTAAAGAGAATTTTATTCTTGTCTCTGTCTCTTCATTGGTGACGTATTTTTGCAGCCCATCCTCCGTATACATTGACCTGAATCCCGATTAATAAGCTGTTCCAATTGTCTCTCATAAAGAGCAATTTGGCTAACAACCAACAGAATGGCTGAATTTACATTTTTGGCTTTACAAAACTCAATTATATTAATATTTTATTTATTCTATTTGATATACCGCCCTAACCCCCTTGGGGGTCTCTGGGCAGTTTACATAGTGAGAGTGCTAATCACAATTGAATATCCTGACTAGGGCCACATTATTCGGGGGGGAGGTGTGACAGCCTACCGGCACCCTGGTGGAAGCTGATGTCTTTCAGCTGGCTTCATTCCCGGTAGTCTGCTGCCTTTCTGCTGTTTCTTCTGGTGCTTGGTCACAGTCTACGTTTCCCCCCGGCCCCAGCTGCGTCCTTTTCGGCTCCGCCATGCCTGGGGATGACGTCACCGCATGCCTTTTTCACTGTGCGACAGCCGATAGTTGTTCCCGCCGCTGGCCACCAGGGGTCACTCCTCTGCTGTTGCTTGCTGCCGCCGTGGCATCGCCACACCAGGTTGCATTCACCACCGGTGGTCCGCCCGTTTCCGCCGTTGCCATCCACACGCCTCATCGAAGGAGGAGGGTGCTCCCACCCTTCTAAGGGTGGGTACCCATTTATCTACTCGCATTAAGATTTTACATTTTGCTTTCGAACCACTGGGTTGGCGGGAGCTAGGACTAGGATCGAGAGCTCACCTCGACCGTGGTGGGGCTCGAACAGCCATAGTGGCTGCTCGAGTGTTGTTAAAGCAGGCATTTACTCCCTGCGCCACCGATCCCGTAATAATTTTTCTAAAGTTATCTGTTATACTTCATCCAGGTATAAAATCTGTTTGGTCTTTGTAGATATATTGGGTTATTAAATTTTTCAAACGGACCGCTAGAATAGAAGAAAAAACTTTTAAATCGTGATTTAAAATAGATATAGGACGATATGAAGAGGGGAGCAATTTATCTTTTCCTGGTTTGGGTATTACTATTACCTTGGCTTCAGCCCATGACTTGGGTGTAATGCCGGATGATAAAACTGAATTAATAGTTTTTAAAAGGTGTTGTTCCAATTCAAGTTTCAATTTCTTATAGAATTCCACAGGTAGTCCATCCCTACCTGCAGTTTTATTGTTTTTCATTTTCGATAGTGCATCTGAAATTTCCTTAAGAGTTATTGCCTGATCTAAAAAAAAGC